ACATTAATGTAATCATAATAATGGGTTGTAGGAACAACATTTAAAAAAAAAAAGCAAAGGACATGCTTTTAACCTGGAGAATGCACAACCCTCAGTCCTGGCCGAAATTAATATTTTATTCTTGGTTCCTAGACCGTCAGGACCTTGAGGAACCAACGAAAGTAGATAAGTTACAAGAACCACTGCTGGAAGCACTAAAAATTTATATCAGAAAGAGACGGCCCAGCAAACCTCACATGTTCCCAAAGATCTTAATGAAAATCACAGATCTACGCAGCATCAGTGCTAAAGGTACGTCGTGACCGTCTGCACCGTATCCCCCAGGTGGGCTTGTGGCGGTTTTAAAACCTTCTGGGACAGGGGTCTCCTTGTTATCTGCCGTTGTTGTTGATTGCTGTCAAGTCGAGCACGACTCATAGCGACCCTCTGAACAAAAGACCTGAAGCCTTTCTGTTAACTCTCGTCTTTTCTCCAAGTTCATAGTTTCCAGAGGCATGTTGTTTAGGAAGTGGCTGTCACTCTTGCTTACGTTCTAAAGAAATGAAATAATGCTCCCGTTTCCAAAATCTCTCCAATCTTACTCTACTCACTCGTGGTTATAAATTATTGATATTTAAAATGCGGGTGACTAAGTGCTTCTTTTCTCAGAACACGCTGCGTGGCCGACTTTGTCTTCGAGCTTGCCACACATGCTCTGGGTTATATGAAGCTAGACTCCCTCCGGTTCTTCCTTACCATTCAAACCTCAAGAAAAATGAAGACTCCTCCGGAGAGTGGGTTTTGGTTAAGCTTCTCTCGCAGTCAGTCTCCACTGCCTTCTGCACACCTCTGAGTAAAAGAAGCCTTGCCTTCCAAAGGAGTAAAAATATTCTTAGTGATTTTCAGTTTCTGTGGCAATCCAAGCAATTACAGCATCGCCTACAGCCATATCCTATCTGAGTGTTGAGTTTTTTCTATGTATAGAGGAAAGACAGCTTCTGTCCCTAGTACCAAATGTGTCATTACTTCTCACTCTCCATTCCCATCAGCATCCTATCCCAGAAGACCCCGGTAAGCTCTCTATTTGAGGAAGTGCTTAAAAGCACAATGAACTTGTCTGACAGGGAGCCTCATTCTCCAGCTTCTTCAGAAGGGTCTTCGCTGAGCTCATCCCTAGCATGGGATTCAATGTAGAAGCAAACACACAGAGACCAGGACTTCAACAGTGTTAATTATGCGTATGTCCTTAAGTTTTAAATTGAAAGCCACCCCTACGGAGAACTAGCCCAAGGGCGAAAGAACTGACTGAGCTTGTGGAAAAGCTCTGTGATCTGCACTGACCGGTCCAGTAGCTGCGAGCCTTGTTATGCTGGGCAGGCACTGTGCCTGCTTCCCCCCTGTATTTCAGTTAGCAAGTTTGATATGATTGTGGCAAACGCTTAACTGTCCTATAACAGTGGGGGATGAAGTCATCCTGAATCACAGCGCTTTTACTATGCCAACCAGCATGTCCACTCAGGTCACCCGTGCCCTTCCAGGGGCATCATATTCAAACTCTCTGATTTTCTGGTCTCTGACCAGGAATCTCTCTCTGTTAACCATCGACAGGTAACTGTTCTGAACAACTGACTGAGGCATGGAGGTAACAGATGGAAACATGTCACCACATCCCTGCTGCTCTAATGTACATAAAGGATGTTAATTTTTAAAAAATCGGGATAGCTTCTGAGGGGCCTGTTACCACAATCTTGGGTAGAGAGACCCTTATCACTACACTGTGACCCCAACGCTGGCCAAGAGCCCAAGTGAACTCTGACGTCACCTACACAGAAGATTTCTGGTGGATATGGTTTCCCTTCTCAATAGAGGTGTGCTTTTTCATTTGAAGGCCACAAGGACCCTTCCAATCAAGATAACGGCTGTTTGATAGCTCTGCTCTAGAACTTGATTTGTTCCAAAGCAAAAGTCTGAGGAAACCTCCTTATTTAAAAACTATGAAAGTTGGGTCCCTGTTATCTTGCTTTAACTCCTTATCTTAACTAGGTTTCTCTTATCTCTTCTTAAAAGGTGCAGAACGTGTAATTACCTTGAAAATGGAGATTCCTGGATCAATGCCGCCTCTCATTCAGGAAATGCTGGAGAATTCGGAAGGACATGAACCCTTGACCCCAAGTTCCAGTGGGAATACCACAGAGCACAGCCCCAGCATCTCGTCCAGCTCAGTGGACAACAGTGGGGTCGGCCAGTCCCCGCTGGTGCAATGAGACACAGTCCAGCCGCTTCAGACATTCCCCGGGACCTGCAGGTCCAGGACTTCAAATGTAAGGAAAACCGTTTTACTGCTGCTTAGTCTGGGACTGAAAATATATTCAACTCAAGAAGGACCAAGACGTTTTCATATGTATCAACGTATATACTCCTCACTGTCTAATTTACCTAGAAAGATGAACTTTTTAAAATTCGAAAGATCAGCCATTTCATGCAACCAAAACTAGTTAAAAAGCTTCTATTTTCCTCTTTGAACACTCAAGATTGCATGACACAGACCCCGTTCTAAGTGATTTCCGCCCTGGTTGAGTTTCTGAAGACTCTGTACATACAGATGTATGGCTCTGTTCTTTCTCTCCTCTACGTTTGGTGCTTTCCTTCTGTCTTGCATATTCAAAATAACCGAGCCACCGAGGTCACGAGAGAGGCTACTGTACATGTCCGGCTAAGAGAGCGTCACAAAGATGCAGTCCTCTTTCACAGAATCATCACGACGCACAGGTGAGGAGGCGATGGACCGCTGTGCAGTGTGACAGTGAGGCGAAAGGGATTCTCTGTTAGGATGGAAGCTTGTCTTTACTCTTTCTGATGCTTCTCAAGCTGCATCTTTTATTTCATGTTGCCCAGTAAAAGTATACAAATTCACTGCACTAGCAGAAGAGGCTTCTGTAATCAGTGTAACTGCCAGTTCAGTTAACCAGATGTCATTTGTTCAACTGTTAATGTCACTTTAAATTAAAAGTGGTTTATTACTTGTTTAATGACGTGACTACACACAGAAAGAGGGGGGGATGAAAAAAAAATTACATTTTTACCGTAAAGGTAGCCTCCAAGGCAGCGACACTGTTCAGTGTTAATACGTTGTTGTTTACCTGTTCACAAGCCATTAGGGAATTTCGTGGGATAATCTGCGGGCTGGTCGGCCACCTGAACTGTGTAACGCTAGTGTCCTTCCTGCCTCATTGTGAGGGGGAAGTCTGTTCCCAGCCTTCCTGAGGCCCAGGCGCCCACGGGCACGGCCGGGGCAGCGGATCTGCCGCCTCTGTTCAGTCATGAGGCAGCAGAGTGCAGACCGCGGTCGAGTGGTTAACAGATACCAGTGTTGGTTTTAGTTCTCATTTAAGCACTAGTGGATTTTTTTTTATATATTAGCAAGTCTGTGATGTACTTCACTGGCTCTGTTTGTACATGGAGATTGTTTGACAATGCTTTCTATGTTCATATACTGTTTACCTTTTTTCCATGGAGTTCTCCTGGCAAAGAATAAAATATATTTATTTTACAGGTGTGTGTGTATGCATTTACTACACTGTCAGTTCAGTAAAGAGACTGGAAACACAGTTCCATTTTTAATGTTTAAATTTCATTTCAAAAAGCAGGCCTGTCGTCTGCAACCATGACAGTTAAAATCTGTGCCGACGCACAGCCGTCTAGAACAATTCTACAAGCCAATCAGACAGTACATGACATTTCAATGAGTAAAAAAGAGCATAAAACTGTGTGTGTAAGAACAAAATGTTAAAAGGCCTACCACAAGAATAAAAAACCATCATGACATTATCACATTAAAGTAAGCCAGATGTACAAAAGTCAGACGGGAAAGACAAAGGGACAAACACAAGGGAGTTGTTGAAAAATGCTTCCGTGCTCTTCGGGCACTTAATTAAACATTGCAAAATCAACATCTTCCTCATCGTCAGACTCTGCAAAATATTTCACTTCTTTTCTGGCCCTACCGGTTCGCGGCAGAGAAGGCGGCTCGGAAGCAAAGTCTGAGGGGAAGGTGTCCACATCCGAGTCCTGATCGAAAGAGCTTTTCTTCGGTTTCTAGACGTTTTGTAAAAGCAGACATAAAATCTCAGAGTTAGAAAAGAATTATTCCTTCATTTTCATTTAGCAAATACTACAAAGGTGCTTTTAAAATCAGAATTGCAGGGCTAACAAAACTGTAAGAGCAGGCACCCTGTCCGTATTTTAAAGGAGAAAAAGGATTCATGAATCTGCCCCTCTCATGAGGTCTTGTACTGAGCAAGTCCTAGCCTCGAGACTATACCAAATTAGACTTATTTTCTCAAGGTACACATTCCCCAGTAAGTATGCACGATGGCCTGATTAGTACGAATTCAAGATGTCACCACCAGGCAGAGCAAGAATTCATAAGCAGAATCCAGTGTGCAATACGCATGGTAAGTCGTGACCAAAATGGGCCAGAGGCTTCTGAGATCAGCGTGAAGAGCTGTATACAGCATAAAGCTCTGATCACCTGTGCTTAAAGTAGAAGGCAAAGAAAGGGGCATCTGATGTTACTCATTTACAAAAAAGAATATACTTCTGGAGAAAGAAGCAACTAGTTGGGAAAATTAGCCACAGTCATCACAAAATAAAGCAGTCCTGGTACAATAATCTAAGGTTCTGGGGTGGTGGGTTATTTTAAAAGAAAAATTTAAAAAACAAGCAATGTTCACTTGGTCTGAAAAGTAGTCCTGGAAACTTGTAGTCTACAGCTACTATCACTCATGGATGGAGTTAAATACTCTGAGTAGGTTATTTAATTTCTACTACACTTTACCCAAGAAACACTATTTACTAAAAAGGCATGATAATGACCAGATGACAGTGGCTACCTGGGAACATCACCGCACAGTGGCCCAGGCCCTTGGGAAAGTCATACAGTCCAGGTCCCCGTTAACCTGGGAATGTCACTGTGCACTGATCCAGGCCCCCTGGGAACATCACTGCACAGTGTCCAGGTCCCCGTTACCCGGGAACGTCACTGTGCACTGATCCAGGCCCCCTGGGGACGTAACCGTGCAGTGTCCAGGCCCCCATTACCCGGGAACATCACTGTGCACTGACCCAGGCCCCCTGGGAATGTCACTGTGCTATCACCCAGGCCCCCAATTACCTGGCTGCTTGTTGTTTTGGACACCTTCCTCCCCGGATTGTAATCACCTTCATTCTCGGAGCCAGACGCTTTCCTTTTCTTCGCCCCTCGACCTTTCCCTTAAAAATGACACAATAAGGTTTTTTTCTACTGAGTTGAATGCCAACAGATGAGTGTCAGAGCATCACCACTCGGGTGGGCTCCCGCGGTCTAGCAGTCCTGAGTTCCTAATCAGGAGTGATGGAGAAACATTGTGGCCTCGTCATCTCAATTCTGGGGGGTACATCACTAAAGAATATTTCATGAGTATATTTAAATTATGGAGCTCTCGTGACCTAGTGGTAACAAGCTGCACTGCAGTCCCAAAGGCACATGGTTCAAATCCACCAGCTGCTCCACAGAAGGACAGGCGATCTGCTCCCGTGTATTAACTGCCTCTGAAAACGTGCCAGAGGGTCAGCTATGGGTCAGCTCCATCCAACTCAATGGGACACAACAACAACAACATCATGATTAAATTAGTTTTAAAGTCCCGGTGACAAATTTAATGACTAATCTTCTAATACACAAAACATTTCATTTTGCACATATGATTTCTTTTCCCCTCTGCAAAAGAAATCTCTTAAACTAAGAGTGCTTTTTAAACTATATGATTGCGGGGTGGGGATATTCACTCTTTTAAATATATACTCTCTTTGAAAAGTATATACCCTTAAATACTTTTAAAAATTTACATCTTGTCAAGGACCAAACTTTAAAAACTATAGTAACTATGAATTAGTAGAAAAATTATCATATGCTTAGATGTCACAATAACATCAAATTTTTATATAGGTTTAAATGCTCAATTTCGTATTTCACCACAATCTGGGAAAGCCATCTTCAGATCCTACTTTAAACAGCAGTTTGAGAATAAACACCACAGTCTGAAGCATGAAATAATCTGTCAAATCCATATCCCTTCTCAGTCCTAGCGTCACTACCCACATGGAGCATGATCTTGTTAAATTAGCCCAGCAACCTAACCTCTTCTTTCCATCACTGGAAGAGAAAAGGGAGAAATGCAAACAGGGACCAGTTGGTTTCCATCCCAGAGTGATGACCATGAAAGAGAAAAATGGAACTAAATTTCAATTTAAACCCTAAAAATCCTGAGA